CAAGGAGGCCACTTACCTGAGCATTGGAGACTGCAACCAACTCTCTGGCACCTCTTTTCTACCATCAATATCACTGCAGGAATTTAGATGCTCTTTATTAAAATGAATTCATTTAGGAAAAGGGTAGTGTCTCTTATTTCTGCCTCCAGCTACAATTTGGTGCCATTCTTTCAGTAAGAGGCCAGATGGTTTTAATAAAAATATTCCACCACAGATTACTTTCTCCTGGGCTTCTTTGTTCCTGTGGCCTTTCGTTGTGTCTGGATGTTCAGTTTGTTGTGTTTGTCTTGATCTTCACTTACATAGATACTTCTTGTTCCCTGCATCATGGTCATACAAAAGTCATAGTGGCAAAATATAATTTCTTTGTTTGGTTCTCACAAGGCACTCAGAGACCACGTGAGTACTGCAGAGAAAACAGTGTGCAAGAATTCCCACTGTGGCAGAAGCTCTCTGGCCACATTCCCACCTCCCTCTGGAAATGTTTAGAATTACTTTGATAGAGATATCACATTTGCCCACAGCTCAGGTCCATCCCTCCTTGTCCCTCAAATTTTTCCCATGAGGACTGTAGCTCTATTGCTTGTGTACTCTAAAACAACGGCAAACCATTGCTGACTGCTCATCTGGGATTGCATCTAATGGACAGGCGTGCAAGCAGAAACAGCAGTCACGTATGAGACCCAGGCACAATGGGGAGGAGATTACCTTGAGGTTTCCATTAGTCTAAGGCTGCCCTTAGAGTCAGTTCTGCAACCCAGCAGCATGTGTGCTTTGGTCAGAACAAGTTAAAAACTGCTTACATCTGGAGGTCTTGGGATGATTCATATTCATGTCCTTCCTGCCCACTGGCATGCTGATTCATCTGAGGCAATGAACAAAACCATGACAAACAACATCTTTCAACAAGTCACCAACAGCTGCATGAGAAGCACAGGGCAGTGAGAAAATGTTCTTTTCCTAAAGAGCTCCGGAACACAGAACATGCTCAGGGGATAACCAACCACACAGAGGATAATATTTGGGATAATATTCAACATATCCTAAGCTGGATGCAATAATGCTGTGTCATTTGGAACAATGACAGCATCCTCTTGACACCTGCTCACGAGAATGACCTTGCAGAGGTCTGCTTCATAATCTAGGGCACCAACCTCCTCTTTGCTCCAACTGCCCTAAGACCCAACAATAGCTCCAGGAGAGAAAGGCTGAGGGCAGATGCTAAAACCCAAGCAGGTACTTGAAACCATCTCTTGCACGGTAAGGAAAGGCAGAGCTAATGGAGGAGTGAATTTGATTGCTCTGGTTGGGGCAGAGAACGGGAGGTTAAACACTCCCAAGGAGCTTTCCAACCAATAGATAAGTGGTCCAGTGCCTCACCTCTCCTCCTTTCTGACCTCTCCCTGCTACTCCCATACAAAGACCCAACTTCCACTCACCATTTCATGCTTCTCCATGGAAAATGCCTGCGTGCAGTAACAGCAGACTGCCCAATGTCAGGGTTAGTGCTCCTTTTAGGATAAGCTTCTTTTCCTGCTAACACATGCAGGACCTGCAAAGTGGAAAAGATGGCATTTCTCTTGGGCTGACTCAGACAAACTGGCTGGGTCCCAGAACATCCAGGCTCTGGCACACACCTGGGAAGCTGGGCTTCAGGGGACTGGAGCCTCCATATCTTCTCTACCAGCAGCATGGCAAATCAGGCAGCTTCTGGCTCTGTACTTACGAGGCACAGAGGGGAATCCTGCTTTTGCTTTCTAAGGCTACTACCTCCTCTGCCAGAGCATTTGCTGGAAATGCCAGGACAAAGTGGAAGATTTCTCCTGGCTTGATGCTGGGACAAATGAGCCTGTCTGGACTGAGGTATGATTCTTTGTCTGAAGTAAGTTGTGCCCCTGGGCCATACTGTGCCATGGTGCTCAGCTGCAGGAGGCTACTTGGGGATCCTTATTCCTTACTTCATCTCCTGCTTTGCCTTTGGGAACAGCTGAGAGGAAATTCAGATACCATGAAGGTTTGGGTAACTGTGACACACCACAGCANAATTCAAGAAGAGATTGACCAGGTAGTAGGACGATCAAGAAAACCCTGTGTGGCTGACCGGTCCCAGATGCCCTACACAGATGCCGTGGTCCATGAAATCCAGCGCTTCATCTCTCTTGTACCCCTGGCCCTCCCTCACACTGTGACCAAAGACACCAACTTCAGAGACTATGTCATTCCTAAGGTGAGCTCCCTCCAGTTCAGCAGTTCTTAGGCTGTCAGTTACAAGCCACAGGCTAAACTGTTGTGGTGTGATTTTGTTTTCACCCAGTCCTTTGTGAGGGTTTTATCCTCAGGCAGCTGGAGCTGACTTGCACTCCCTTCTTGATACTCTGTGGGCCAACACTAAAACAGTAGCTCTGACCAACACTTTTGTTCCCTTGCTCTGAAGCTTTACATATTTGCAGAAGCACATTAGGTTCACAAACTAGAGCGGTGATTCTGCACACAGAAGAAACCAAAGTTGAGGAGCAGCTCATCACCATCCAGGATAGCTTGGGCACATACTTGGGAGCAAAGTCAGTTGCTGGTTATTGAGCACAGAAAGATTTTGAGCCACAAAACACCGTAGGTGATGTTTGCATTGAATGGAACAAGCCAATCCTGTTGGCTCTGTTCTAGCACACTTCCTGAGGCAGTCTCTGCTGGCCACTGCCAGAGGCAGGCTGGTGGGCCAGAGCAGACCTGGCTTGGCCTGGCTCACTGCAGCAGTGCTTGTTGCTCTTCTGGGTGACTGTGGGCAGCTGGGAAACAGCAGTACATGGGCTGCTGGTGGAGTGATTTCCAGGTCTCTGTGCAAAATCATCAGGCAGGACCCAGAGAACTGCTTAGCCATCAGCAGAGAACTCTTGTGTCATGGCTGCTGAATACTCCAGCCCCTGTCAATGGCTGGCCAGGAAGTGGGAAGGTAGAGGATTGTGGCAGGAGAAATTTGTGAGGGCAGGGGAATTCCACAGGAACTTCTTTTCCACAACCTTGTGTGCTTTTGATATTTTGGACTCCTAGAATAGAAGGGACATGGTGCATCTACAAAGTCATTATTGTGAAACACCAAGAAAGAGAAGAATTAGGTAGGGTGTCCCCTGATGACCAGCGCAAGGTCAGAATGAATACACTGGAGACGACAGGGAGAATTCAGGAAGAGCAGCCAACAACTGCTGTGACATTCAGCAGGGTCTCCCTAAATATGCCTCCTCTAAAGAAGGGTCTCTAAAGGGAAACCAAAGGCATATGTAGGGTTATACAGGGAAGCAGTCTCAATTTGGCAGGCAGTCAGATTGAGTGACCTCATTTGCCAGCCTTTCATGTTCTGCTCTTGTGTTACTCCAGGGCACTACAATTTTTCCAGTCCTCACTTCTGTCCTCCATGACAGTAAAGCGTTTCCAAACCCACATGAGTTCAATCCTGAACATTTCTTGAATAAGAACGGCAGCTTTAAGAAGAGTGAATTCTTCATGCCCTTCTCAGCAGGTAAGGCACAGGTTTGCTCTTTTCCTCTCTCTGTCAGCCTCCTCCTCTGGTGATCACCCTGTCTTTCCCTGCTGTTCTTCCTTCACACACCCATCCAAACTGTCAGGGGTCTTTTGCCAACAAATTCTTCTCTTGAAAATGTCCTTGGTAACTTTAACAGTTGTCTCACTGCTATGGCTGTGTGTAGTAAACAAAGCTGTACAACACAGCTGCTAAGCACAAACTCTGGTTTACTCAGAAACTCCCACTGAGCTCTATTTGCTGCTTTCACTTTCAGGAAAACGAATATGCCCAGGAGAGGGCCTGGCACGAATGGAGATATTCTTACTCATAGCCATCATCTTGCAGAACTTTACTTTGAAGTCTGTTGTCAACCCCCAGGAGCTCAACATTACCCCGACTCTGAGTGGGACAGGCAATGTACCTCCTGCCTACCAGCTCTGTGCTGTCCCCCGCTGAAAAGCACTGAACCACTCTCCAGCGTCCTGAAACTAGCTATTCCTTTACATGTTCTTTACTAAAATCAACAGCAGGAGCACTGGCCCATCTTTCCCAGGCCTTCAGGAAGGCAATCCAAACACAAGGCACAAAGCAGAGACCTCTGAAGCCTCCCAGAACTCCACCACACCGCAGGAGGCCCTGGGTGACATTGCAGCCTCTTGCACGGATGCTCTGTCACAGGATCATTGAGTGCAGTGGCTGCATCAAACAGCCACTGTTGGTTTTCTCACCAGCACAGCTCCCCTGGCTCTCCCACAGCATGTGTCCCTCCAAGACCTGGCTTTGCAGATGGATAGTGCTGCATGTGTGTACATTAATGATCCAATAAACAAAAATCTGTTTATGACAATTTGAGCTGTTATTTAATTTGGGTCAGGGCAGTGCCCACATCGGCTGCTGCACTGCAGAATAGGTCTGCAGAGCCTGTGGCCAGCACCCTGTGGGAAGGGCTGTCCCTCCTGGGCAAGGATCCTGCCTTTGTCACCCACTGTGCTCACTGCTGCTGTCTGCAGGGAGCTCCAGAGCAGTCACAGCACACCACCAGTC